AAGAAGATAATGGAGATAAGGCTGACAGAATCTTAGATCGAGGTTGTGTTGAAATTAAACCATTCACCACAAATCAATTCGAGTGAAAGATCAACATAACAACCCAACAGATTAAAGCATGATTTTACACAAATAAATCACATATCTTCCACGTTTGGTGAGTCGGTGACATTAACATAGAATATGACAGATCACATGGTTTGATACTCGTAGAAAATGAAATAATAACAGAAAACGAATTAATACCCATGTTGAATCTCACCCAAAACAAAAAATTGAATTAATAACATTACAGAAGCAGCATTCCGTTCCATCTTGTTGCCGACGGATTTTGGGGAAAATAAATTACTTACCAATGATTTCGAAAATAGACCGGAGAATGCGTGACTTCAGATTTGTCAACGCCCGACGCCGATCGAATTTTGCAGCGAGGAGAATCTGCAATTTTGTGGACTCGTCGTGGAACCGTGGAGAGATGATGTAGATTAGAATATTTGCAGTTGGGCTTTAAAACAAAAAACGAAAAAATAAAAAAAAACTAAAAATTATACAACTAATTTTGGGCCCCCCAATATGTTGGGCCTGAGGCAGAGGCTTCTTGAGCCTCTCCTCAGGTCCGGCTCTGCACATAATGATTATCATGTGTTCTTGTGTTCTGATCAAGAGTACTAATATTGTGATTATTGGTTCAGTAGTTTATACTGCTCCAGCAAGACATGGATGCTTGAAGGTAGTTCAGAATAGTTATTGTGCTTCTAGAAGAGGTATGAGATTCTTTATGGACTACGCTTTTGCTTATGCAGGTAGTTTTTACAAAATGGATACTGTGTCTGTGCCTAGTAATTTTTATTCTGTTTTCTTTTTTTATTTTTTAGTACTGGCCCTTATTATTATAATTTTTTTTTTTTTTTTTTACTATTATAAGGACCGTGATCATAATCGAAGAGAGTTGTTCTAATCTCATCTTTCCATTCGTATCAATCTTATCATTTGTTCAGCCATAAATACATGTACTTTGAAGAAACGAAGTATAGCAGAAAAATATTTTTCTACATTTGTGTTCTGTCTACTAATCTCACATGAGATAATGTGTTGTGAAAATTAAGTGTGTTAGTTGCCAATAAAACTGCAATTCAATGTCACAACTACAAAACGGGCATAATAAAGTTGATTAAATAGCGTTGATATATACAACCCTATTTTTATTAGCTTTTACTACATTTGTTAATTTATTACTTTCTAGAGATCAGATTTATGTCCTTCTCCTCCCTTATACTCTCGTCTTTTTGATGATATATACATGACCTTTCTTGGTGGAACTTAAAATTTTATGTGTGGGTGTCTTTGCTTGAAAAAAAAAAAAAAAAGGATATTGATATTAGGAAACTAAATAAATTACTTGTACAGGCAAGTCTTGTTCCCTGGCCTGTTAGGGCACATCTCGCGATTTACTTCTCTCACAAAGCTTTAGAGACGGGGCGGTGGAGTCCCTCAAGATTGATTTTCAACATTTTTTTTATTTTTTTTATTTATTTATTTTTTTGTAAGTTGATTGGAAACTAGTGGTTCACCTTTTTGACAATGCAACACGCATTTTACTCTTTACAGCGTGCTGAAGCCAAACCGCGTGCGGTTACCTGTTGGCCAAAAGTTAAAAGTTCCACAGCTATAGGCTTTTGATTTTATAAAAATAACTTATTTATGAATTGTTTAATATTTACACTCCATTTTTTTCCTATCCCTTTTATTTTCTTGATAAATAATATGATATTAATTTTCTATTAACAAAGTGCTGGTAGGGATCATAATAATATAGGTTGAGCATATTTAGCTATTGTTTGAACCCTATTTCTGGTCAAAATACATTTTAGAATAATATTTTGTAAGAGAATATGAGGTTAAAAAGTAAGAAATTTTTTTTATTTACGTTTAAATTTATTTTTTAAGAGAATGTATGATTGAAATAAGTTTTAAAAAAAATAATTTTTGAAAAAATGGAGACCAAACATAGAGCTTAGTATGTATGAGTAGATATGACTCGACAATATTATAATAATAATAATAATAATAATTTAAATATAATTTTCTTCCTATGCATGGCTGGAGTATTGTTAAATGATTAAAAATTATTTGTTTGAAATGTGTAGATAATAAATCAATAGTAATTGTGAATCCTACAAAACATATAGCATTGTTTGACGGGAATTAAAATAATATTTTTAATATATTTTGATAAAAGTTGATGAAATGTTAGATAAAAAAGTTGTTGGTCTCATTAAATGTGTGGTTAAAATTAATTTTGACTTTAATTTAGATTAAAATTTAAAATTTAAATTTTTCCAAACATAGACATAAATAAATAAATAAATAATGTTTGGCCAGCTCGAATTATAATTTAGATTTTACCAAACATGCATTGAGAGCTTGTTTAGGGTGATTTTTAGATTAAAAAAGATTTTTTAAAATTTTTTTAAGAATATACAATTACAAAATAAATAAATAAAATATCGAATCTCATAAAATATGTGATTCAAAATAATTTTTAGAAAATTTCCCAAGCAAGTTCAAAGAAGCAACAAACACGGGATATATCAAACATTCACAAGTTGCAAGTACCGCTGGCTTTAGGACATGGGCATCTTACCTCGTACTTTCCTAGAAGTTCATCAAAAAGTGAAATAGTAAATGACATAATACCCATAAATGGCCAGGTGTATTATTGATTCACAATTTCATGGAAAGTGTTCCTCTCTTTATGGAGAAATTTCTGGGTTCATTTTAATTTACACAATGGTAATTAATCATTCAAAGACGACAAAGCACAATTTGCCAAATTGTTATGTGGTGAAAATATCTTTCATTTTCTCTCAATTTCTTTAGTTACTGTATTGTCACATCGAGTCGTCTATGAACCCAATTATTCAAATTTAGAGAAGTCTCGTAACCATGATATTTTTAAAAAAAAAATTTGTTATTAAGATGAGCTACGAGTACGACACAATCAAGACTCGTATTAGTTTAAATGTGTAAAGTAAGTTGTATTAGAATGTTTATGTCTCAAGGATGATCCATGGCTCTAGGCTCACATTTCAAATTTAGCATTCAATTTATTTTATTTTTTTTGGATTTTCTTAATTTTTTATATAATCATTAATTAATATAGGCTCTCGATTCGACTTTGATCATTATGAACTAGTACCAAGTTCGGTACTAGTCCTAATCAGCCGGTCATAATAGAAATAGGCATGAACAATAAAACTCCTTTGGTGATAAATAATTAACTAATGCTGGAACAAAAAGATTTCATTGCTATGAAGACCTTTATTGTATACACGATGAATGTTCAATCAGTACTGATTCTTATCGAAGAGTGGATCAGAAAATTCCTATGTATGTCCATTTTTTGAGCTATCCACCTAAACAAGAGGAAATCCTAAATGCCATGAAACTTTGTAGAATCTTAACAGAAACTTCAATGATTGACCACCCATAAAAATTACTATGTTGACTCTCTACAACCAAAAGAACAAATCCAAGGCCGTCTTATTAAAAACCCCAATTACGATATCCTTCCTCTCCACTTCACACCTTGAAATGCGCGTTCCAAAATATATCATTCAGATTTTTAATTAAAAAATTTAAAATAAAATCTCGATGTAAGACTATTTTCAACGTTCTACACCATATTTAGTGTAATTTTACACTGAATTTGGTGACGATAATCGAAAGTGGTCGATCATTGACCCCTATCTTGCGAGGTTATACTTTCTTGACAATTTAATTCTGATCGAAAGCCACAACCACTTTTTAAACAGTCATTTTCAAATTGAATTGTTCAACTAAATTATCATAAGCTCAAACATTTGGGACCATTGTTTTAATAATACTAACAATAAATTATAACCATAGAAATGTTAAGAAATTAAGCATAGAATCGAAGTCGGTCACAAATAAACAAAAGATAGAATAAATTTAACTTACCCTTCAATCCCACCAAGAGAAAGAGCCAATAAAAATTTCTCTATTATTTGCAAGTCTAATCAACTTATTAGGAATCTTATACGGCAAATGCAAAGTGATTTATTCGATTATTTTTTCTAGAAGGATTAATTCCATACTTCAATCTTGTTTAATCGGGTAGTTATACTAAAATACAATTGGGTGACTACTTAGTTTAATTTTCATTAAGACAACTTTGTCTAATTCTATTAACAAGAATCGATGGTGCAATCGTCAATAAATAATAATTATCACGTGTAATTGTCAGTTACTTATTTGAATTATGTAGAATTTCAATTAAACAAATGACGGGCTTCAATTATTGACTATCAGTTCATTGAGGAATCAATATCGTCCAGGGTTATCTGATTGAAATCAAAGTAAAATGTAATTACCAAATTAAATAAAAATAAAATATAATTATTTAATTGAATCTAAAGTAAAATATAATTATCGCGAATATAATTTACTGTCTAAGAAAATATAGTCCTTTTGATGAAATCAAAAATAAAATACTCCATACCATTAAAAAAAAAAAAAAAAAAAAAAAATCCCTTTTTCAAACACTTGAAAAACAATTTTTTTTGGGTTTGGTTTTGAGGGAAAAAAAAAAAAAAAAAAAAAAAAAAAAAAAAAAAAAAAAAAAAAAGCAAAACTCGAGAGCATCGCCCTTCTGGATACTAAGAACGACCACAAAATTTACGAAAATTTTAACTTTTATCCAAACTAAACAGAGACAAAGCCCATGTTTGATGATAATTATTTTGAAAAATAAAATTATATTTTAAATAGTTTTTTGGAAAATATATGGTTAAAAAGTAAGAAAAAATTTTGAATTTAAGCAGAAAATATTTTATTGTATAAATATGTAATTAAAAATGAGTTTAAAAATTAAAAAACTTTGTTTCAAAAGAAAAGAAAGAAAAATAGGGGCTAAATATAGTAAAATATTAAGCTTTATTTAAATCACACCAAACTGGCTTCCAAATTTCCAATAACCACTCCTTCAAAACTCTCTCGCTCTCTCTCTCTCTCTACGAAACTTCGAGGAAGCTCACTATGGCTCACCACACTCTCCCTCCATTTAACCCCCCGATTCTTCCTCTCTGTTTCCCACAAACCCCCCCTTCTCCATTATCTCTCTCACCTTTCGGTCTCTCCCTTCTGTTTCGTTTGAATCAGTACAATGTCCACCATGAAGTTCATCAAAATCGTTCCCAAAAAGCTTTTCAAGTCCAGGAAATCACAGTCCGTTTCCAGATCCGAGAACGATCCGTCCTCCTTCAGCTCCCAAGCAACGTCGTCTTCCGCCGATGATTCCCACTCTGGCCTCAAGAAGCCGCTCGACGGATTAGATACGCCAACCAGCGTTCTGCCTTCTTTATCCTCCGGCGAGTGGTCCGAATTCTCTGCCGATGTTTACTTTGAACTAAAGCAAGCGTTCGAGATGATAGACAGGGAAGGGACTGGGAAAGTAAAGAAAGAGGAGCTGAAAGCTTTGTTGAGTAGCATTGGAGCCGAGCCGCCGAGCCAAGAGGAGCTGACTATGATGTTAAACGAAGTGGATAGAGACGGCGATGGGTGTATCAGCTTGGAAGAGTTCTACACGATCGGCTCGGCTTTTGGGACGAAAGCCTTGGAAGCCGATCTGAGGGAGACGTTTGACTTCTTTGATTCCGATCGTGATGGGAAGATAGCGGCGGAGGAATTGCTCAACGTTTTTAAAACTATTGGGGACTCACGGTGCACGTTAGAGGACTGCCGGCGCATGATAGGAGGCGCAGACAGGAATGGGGATGGGTTTGTCTGTTTCGAGGACTTCCGGCGTTTGATGGGCCTGCAAAGATGATACTTTCTTGTTTAAAAAAAAAAAATGAAATGAAATTTATAATTTGCTGGTTCCAATATTTATTATTATTATTATTATTATTATTATTATTATTTATTGTTTGTGTATTAACAGGAACCATTTATTATTATTATTATTTATTGTTTGTCTATTAACAGGAAAAAAATGGTTCTGTTTTTTTATTAGAGATAATTTAATATTTAAAATGAAATGGCAAAAATCTCATAGCTTGTTTGGTATAGATTTTTTTAAGTGAATGATTTTTTAAAAAATGTGATATTAAAATGTGAATAAGTTAAAGATAATTTTGTTGACAAGTCAGTCCCAAACAAGCATTTAGTGGATGGCAACTGTCATGGCAGGTGACAAGGAAAAGGACGCTGACTATGATGCTTTTCTTGATATTTTGATTAAACCAAAAAAATTCTGTACTTCAATCACACACTCAATGACTTGAATATAATCTAATTCCTAACCAATTTAATATAATAATAAAATAACAATAAACGAAATTTTCAGTCGGTATTAAGATAATTTGAATCTTGGAGAATGTTTTTCGCAAGTTTATTTAGCACATGTTTGGCCCTGTTAGATTATAATTTATTTTTTTCTCTCTTCTTATCAATCACATATTTTTTAATAAAATAATATTACACGTAATTTCAAAAGATTTTCTTCTTTTTAATTAAAATTTCAAATAATGGGCCCAAATAGGGCTGAATGTTTTTAGCAAATTTATTTAGCACCCGTTTGGCTCACACTTTTTATTAACATGTTTTTCAATAAAATAATATTATATGTAATCCCAAAACTTTTTCTTCTTTTTAATTAAAATTTCAAATAATGGGAACTTAGCTCCCGTTTGGTCCCCTATTATTTGAAATTTAATTACTGAAATACTGTTTTTTGAAGAATGTGTGGTTGATAAGAAGAGAGAAAAATAAATTATCATTTAATTAAGTCAAAATGAGTTTAATTTCAATCAATGCCATGTAGCTCATGTTCGGTAGGTATAATCTAAATCAAATTTAATAATTAATTTTAAACACATATTTCAAGGTATTCGAAATTTTTTAATCGCATATTTCATCAATTTTTATCAAAATATACTAAAAATCTTATTTTAATTCCCACCAAATATAGCTTTAGACCATGCCTAATCATCATTTTACTAAAAACTTATTTTCCTCCAAACTCATTTTGAATATCACATTTTCCAATAAAATTATGCCTCGTTAGATTAGTTAAAAATCAAATTTTTGGTAAATTTTGATAAAATTAATAAAATATATTATTGAAAAAGTTGATAAAAGTTGTAACTCTCATAAAATGTATAGTTGAAAATGAGATTGCAGATAAAATAGATTTTGAAAAAATGGAGGCTAAATAGAGACTAATATGTCCTTACTTTTTAACACATATTTTTTTAAAACTTATTTTAAAAATTGAAATCAAAGGAGTTAATTCTATTATTGACAATTGCAACCTTGTTCACTTTCTTTTTTGACAATTTGGCACTTTCAATTTCATATGTAAAGCCAAAAACCGTGTTTTGTATCTGTTAAAGTTGAACAGTCCGATAGCTTGCTTAAATTTAGACACACAATGATTTTGTCGACGTTAAAAAATGACTAAATCACTTTTGATTTCTTTTTTATTATTATTATTTAGAATGTTTGTAAGGAGTATCTTGAAAGTACATCTAGCTCGACCCTTTGGGGGAACCATTATGCTTTTCTTTTTTTTTATGGCTACCCAGGTAGCCAATTAGTTGTTAGAGTCACATCAGTCACAGTATCGTCCTTAAAATGTGTGTCTTCGCTTGGATTTTGAAATTTTTTGATTGGTTGTTGAAATCGATCTAAACATAATATAATAATGTTAGGATAGTAGGTTATCATTACTATCTTGCGATTGACTGAAATAGTGGTGCAAATATAAAGGTTGAACCCCAACCTTAAGGGCCCCCACCGACCCTGTCCTGGGCCATCGTGGAAGAGGTAATCGCAGGATGTGCCTCCCAGGAGCCAGAGTGGAGAGCACATGGATAAGCCAAGACTGTTAACCCATATGGTAACTCCCGCTTGCAACAAAGCCAATTCCACCTTGCGGGGAATCGAACTCTGCATACTGTCACGCTGAACCCTATCCGTCCTCCTCTTTGCCACTGGGAGATATGCCCTGGGGACAGTGGTGCAAATATCATTATATTGCCACTTGGTTGTTTAGGAATGGTTACATAAGGGGTGATGATATCGCATAGGGACAAATGGAGCAGAGTGCAATGATTATGCTTCCTAGATCACTACAGTGTTTGGGGCGAGCTGACCTGTCATAGAAGGACTAAGCCCTTGTTGAACCTCATTCTTTCAAAAATTTATTTTTTTAAAATTCATTTTTAACAATATATTTTTCAAAAAAATAATATTAAATATAAATTAAATTTTTTTTTAATTTTTAACTACGTATTCTCCATCAATTACTATTCAAAAATGCATTATTTCACTTAAATTAGATTCAAACAAGGGGTAAGTTGGATTTTTCTTGAATTGTGGTAGGTTTGTGAGTTCAGATCCCAACAAATTTGATTATATTAGATCTTTAAGTGGATGTATGTAATGATTTAATTATATATTACATCTTTAAGTAGATGTAATGATTCATACGAAAAATAATTTAATATTGGTCATGTTTATTGAGAACTCTAGAGGAAATATAAGAAAATGAAGTCAATAAATTAGTGCCAATTTTATTAAGAACTAAATATTTTTATTTATATGTAAAAATTATAGTTGTAGAGGTACAATATTCAATTTCCAAATATTAATTGATTTACAGCACTCCTCGTTGAATGACTATTTACAAAATAATTGTCTCTTGTAACATAGTTTGGTAATAGTTCGATAGAACAAAAATATCGAACGAAAAAAAATAAAAGAAATTAGAATAATGTTATGTTCTCTTATTAAAATTTCGTTGAAAAAATTCAATGAGACAAAACTTGAGTGAAAGAAAAAAAAAATACAATTACTCCATTAATTTTAATTAATGAATATCCTATATAAAGTCATTCATATTTTAATTAATTATGATTATGTATCATTGTTCATTTCTTTAAATAAGTAGTACTTTACTTTCAAGGCACTTCAAAGAATAAAAATCACATGGAGAAAAAGGTAAACCTTATTATTAATCTGAACTTTAGAGTTGTACAAAAAACTACTCTTCAAGAGCAATGATATAATTTCTTATAGAATATCAGATCTTATAGATTTACACTCATTGAAAGAAAATAATATTCTACTTAAATATTAAAGTATAATAACATTGTATTTCTTTCAAAATAACAATGCAATATTATTCGAAAATATAGATATTCAAATATTTATGCATTTTCATGAACAATAATATTATATACTTCAGGAATATTAATGTATTATTATAAAAATAAAAAATAAAAATAATCGATATAGTAATACGCACATAATCATATAAATAATATTTACTAATTTGTCGGTTGGTAAATTAAAATCAAACGAATACTAACATCCTCTTCTTTTTTCATTTTTCCTTTTTCTTTTTCTTTTTCTTTTTCTTTTTCTTTTTCTTTTTGGACAGAAAAGAAGAACCATTTAAATCACACGGTGAATAAAATTTGAGGATTGTAAGAACCACATGGCCTGCTTCTGCATAAGAATTAAGCTAACATGGTATGTTTATGAAGATACTATTTATCCTCAATAATTATGCATGCATCCACTGGAAAGTTATCTCTTCTCACAGTGTAATGAAAAAGAAATGAAAATAAGTTGTGATCGCATTCGGATTTATCTGGGTGACGAACCAGGGGGGAAGGCCGCCACTCCTTAGGATTAGTCAGGCTAAATTTGAACACCTGGGTTATTAAAAAAAAGGAAAATAAGATAGTTGTAAATTTCTCGTGATATTTTTTCACTATCTAATATAATTAATATAATAAATATACACTCGATTTATAAAACAAATAAAAAATAAAAAATGAATGGTCTGCTTTGTTCTTTGTAACTTGTACATAGAAATAATTTGCCTCGTTTGACTTCCTTTTTTTCAAATTAAAATAGATGGAATAGTACTTTTTTGAAAAATGAGTAATTGAAAAGGAAGGAAAAATTTTAGAAATTTTATTTTATTAAATATTGTGTGATTGAAAACAAAAGAGAGAAAAATTAAATTTAATTTAATGGGGCCAAACAGGGCTAAAATTTCTTTACGATTACCACTATAGTCTATATAACAAATCTTCGTTTGGAAAAGAAATTTGGCATTTTGGGATAGATTTTTAATTTTGAAACTTTCTTTGTAGGTGTGATGTCTTTTTCCGGTGGTTTTTCTTTTTGATACGATTTCCATGAAATTTCTTTTCCCTTAATTTTACGTTTTCTCTGTCTCAGGGGGAAAAAAAAAATCTTGGATGGGTGGCTTTTGTTTTCATCACTTTTGACTTTAGCAGATCATATAATTAATTTGATTGGAATTCATGGAAGTTTCGTGTTAGAGTAAATTACGGAGATCTTCTCTTAAGTTAGTTCTCGTTTGACTTCTATTAAATTATATTATAATTTTTGGAATAATGTTTTTGGAAGAATGAGTTGTTGAAAAAGAAAGAAAATTTCTCATTTTGCACTTCTATTTCTTATGCTTTATATATGACTAAATTTGTTTTCTTAATTGTTTTATTTTTCTTAATTTTAATTCAAACAAAAAATACAATGTATTAATTTTAAAATTTTATTTTCTTAACTTTTCATACAGTGTGATTTCATTTTAATCGCAATGGTTAATTAGAAGAAACAATGACTATTGATGCAAAACATCCTCGACCTTTGTCGCTATTGCAGAATATCTCCCATATTTTTTGACCTTTGAGGTGCGAAAGAGCTCCTGTCGTCCATCCATGTTAATGGTGTAGTTAAATCAACTTAAAGATGCCCAAAATGAATGATCTTGAAATTGGATAATTGGCAAAAAACCTCATTGATCCTTTGCCACTATTGTAGAATACTCT